GGTTCATATATACAATGGAATATTACTCAGCCATCAGAAAGGATGAATACCCAACTTTTGCATCAACATGGATGGGACTGGAGGAGATTATGCTAAGTGAAATAAGTCAAGCAGAGAAAGTCAAATATCATATGGTTTCACTTATTTGTGGAACGTAAGGAATACATGGAGGCCATTAGGAGAAGGAAGGGAAAAATGAAGGGGGCAAAATCAGAGGGGGAGACGAACCATGAGATTCTGGACTCCAGGAAACAAACTGAGGGTTTTAGAGGGGAGGGGGGTGGGGGGATGGGTTAGCCCAGTGATGGATATTAAGGAGGGCACGTATTGCATGGAGCACTGGGTGTTATATGCAAACAATGAATCATGGAACACTACAACAAAAACTAATGATATACTTTATGGTGACAAGCAAAACAAAACAAAATAAATAAATAAAAATAAATAAATACTCTTGGTTGGAGAAAAAAAAAAAAAAAAAAAAAAAGAGTGAGGCCCCGGCATTCTTTTTTTAAAAGCGTCCCAGGAGGGCGCCTGGGTGGCTCAGTTGGTTGGGCGACTGCCTTCAGCTCAGGTCATGATCCTGGAGTCCCGAGATCGAATCCTGCATCGGGCTCCTTGCTCAGCGGGGAGTCTGCTTCTCCCTCTCCCGCTCACTCTCTCTCTCTCTAATAAATAAATAAAATCTTAAAAAAAAAAAAAAAAAAAAGGCGTCCCAGGATTAAGAACTGCCTAGAGCAGTGGTTCTCAAAGCATGGTTCCTCACACCAGCAGCATCAACACCACTCAGGAACTTGTTAAACATGCATGGGCCTACTGGGAGGCAGGTGGGCAGAAATCTGTGTTTTGCCACACCTTCCATGCAATTCTCATGCCCACTCCAATTTGAAACCAGTGACCTAAACTATGAGTTCCTACAGTCTGTATTTCTAGATCCTACAGTCCCCACAAAACCTAGCAAAATGCTTCGTGCATAGTCACATCTCAATAAATGCTTGAGGAATTCAGTTTGATACAGAATGAGAATGCAGAAAATGACCACTGAAGCACCTGCAGATGATAAACTACTTTAAAAGGCTAAAGCACCACTCTTTGAGTTTCTAAAGTGAATATAAAATTTATTTTGAAAGCACAAAAGGAAACCAGATTACTCAGGTTGTTAGTAAAAGCGCTGTTGTCCCAAAAGGGAGCATATCAGCTTACAGTTTAAGTCACAGTCAACTGAAAACAGATGATAACTTATGCAAGCTCTTAGACTGGTATTTAAAAATTAATTCTGTGGTTCTGGGAAGCAAGGCACAACGATTACAAAGACATGCTGTGTGCATGATGGGAGATCCGCTTAGAGAACACAGCATTCACATGGTTGTGATGTGGCCCAGATCTGATGAAGAGGGCCAGATTTCAGAACATCCTCTAGGTGACATTTGGAGAGATAAGACTCCTGTAATGAGAATGAGCTGATCAATTTGCCTGAGTAGAAAATGAAACAAATAAATCCATTTTTATGCAATTGTTTTCTATCTTGAGAAGTTAAACTGTTGAAGATACTCTGGGATGCAGGCTATCATCCCAGCCTCACCACACACCTTTTCTAATTGGCACCCTGAAAGATTTCATAGGAAAAGGGTGTTACTTTGGTATTGTTGATTTAAAGGTTATCTACTCACGGCAAGGCAGAGGAGAATTCATCTTCAAAATTCACCTCCTTATGGAAAGCCCATGGAGTATCTTGGCAATTAACAACTCCTATCACCTCTAGCTGTTCCCTATGTGAGAAGGCTCAGAACTCGCCTTACAAATTGCTCTTTTGAAGATCAAAGGGAAGCTGAATGTGTCTATGTGTGCTCTCGATGAGACTGTAATTTAATGGAATTTTTAGAGAAGGCTTGCTGGCAGTGTTTGGATGACAGCCCTGGGGCGGAGGATTCAGGGGAACTTGGCCACTCTTCCCTTTGGAGCGTCTTCCCCTGTCTTTAATTGGCACCTCATTAGAAATTAATGAAAATGACATCCTCTGTTCTTCCTGCTCTAGGCATCGAATGCTACAAAAAGGCCCATCACAATTCATAACACATTCAATTTATATAGCAATGGCTCTTAAGCATTATTTATGAGATGTGAATTTCTTGTCAGCAGTTAATAACCTGTACAGAGTAGAAGGGGAATGGAAAAAAGATTGTGAATATATATATTAAGAAAAAGATTTTCTGCAGTGGAGAAGTGTTCTGTTTGAGTTCAAACTACCTTCCTGAGTCTTTACTTCCAGTAGTAAATTACCGTGGCCCCCTCCCCAGCCCCCAAACCTTTCAGGGCAGTTCAGCGTCTCTTCAACACTTCATGCATCCTCAAGGAAATAATGACACAACTCACCCTTTCCTAGAGAGATCCGAGCAGAGAGGCAGGGGGAACACAAGAGCTATTTGTCAAAGACAGTCCCAGAGGTGGATGTTCCCATTGCTGCCCTTCATCTTTTAAAATGTGGCAGTAGACTCCATCATTTTTCTGGGCACATCTAGTGTAACACTCTCAGGGGGCCAAACTGAACTCCCCACTCTCTCTAGGAAGGCTACATCTGGAGTGACTGCAGAAAGCTCAGGGCGGCTTTCTTTCCCAGCATTAAAATCAAATCTCTCTGTAAGGAGACCCTCAGAATTGGGCATAAGCCAAGGGACTATGTGTTAGATCATTTAAAAAGAATGCATGTCTGTGGTAAACCCAACAGGCACTTTAGAAATCTAGCCTCCTGCCCAAGAGATGAAGAACACAGTAGAGTAATCTGAACTTACCAGAGACAGTCAATTGGGCTTCACTTAGGAGCATGTGAAATCATCTAACATATATCTCTAGATTTTTTCCGCTGGGTACTCAAGACCGTAGGTAGGAAATCTGTGGTTTGCATCAAAGCTGAAGCATAAACTGGCATACCTGGTTTACAACACCTCTGCATCTCTCGGTGCTAAAACTGTGAATTCTCACTGCTTGCCTGACAAGGACAGGAGGGTATCAGCCACCGCCAGAGGCAAGACAACACACTTTATGGATCAATTGCTTGATCCACTAGGGCAAATCCTGTGTAATACCCACGATTCAGTTACTTTCAAGAAGGAAACAAGAACATAAGGTACAGGGAAATCCCATGATTCTAATTTAGGAACAACCAAGGGCATGTGTTATAAAAGCAACAGGCAAACCGGTCAGGTGGGCTTCACAACACTGATAACAGACTGAACACTGAAACTGCCCCCTTCCAATAGCTCATGCAAAGATCAAAACAAGAATTTGCAGACTACAAAAGGTGAGACAAACCCTTCAATATGGGCCAAGCCGGTTGGCCGCCATGCCCCAGCGTTTGCTTGGCTGACCACAGTATTCCTGTGGTCTCCTCCCTATCTCACCGAGCGTTTAAAATTACCTGGCAGTCAAAGAATAAGGTTCTGGGCTCTCTTGGGCCACGCCACACCCATGAACACAACTGAAGTTGCTGACAGCCCCTCCTCCCACCGTTTATCCTCTCTTCTTTACACTTTCACATAAGCAATTAACAGGATAACTAAATGCCAAGCTAAAAAAATAAAAACTGGTCCAGTGACACCTGGACTCCCCATGCTGCTGTCTGTTTCTGCAGCTGAATATACACTTCCAAGCTTGTTGAGTACCACACACCAGAGTGTGCAACAAACAGATTTCTGGTCTTGACAGGAACAAAAGTTCCAACTTCATTTCCATGAGAAGCTGGTACATCCTCCTTTCCTTCTCATTTCCAACAGGGTAAATAACTGAGGTATGGGAGAAGCAATGGCTGCCTCTTTAGGAGATGAGGGACTTTGAGAAACTGTAATTTTCCAACTGCTGAGAGAACCATTTAGTCCTGCCTGTCAGCATCAGTACCTGTAGGGTATCTATGGCTGTCCCAGGGGAAAAAGGAGGCTTCTAAAGCTCACTGCTAAGGACAAAGGACATAGGATCTCAGATTCGAGAGCCAGGCCTCCAGGTCTGCCTGATGACAGCTCTGTCTCACAGAACTATTTTATAATACTAAGCTTTTTTTTTTAAGATTTTATTTATTTGACAGAGAGAGACACAGCGAGAGAGGGAACACAAGCAGAGGCAGTGGGAGAGGGAGAAGCAGGCTTCCTGCAGAGCAGGGAGCCCGATGCGGGGCTCGATCCCAGGACCCTGGGATCATGACCTGAGCCGAAGGCAGACGCTTAACGACTGAGCCACCCAGGCGCCCTGTAACACTAAGCTTTAAGTCAGGAAATAAAAACAGGAAAACTGTAAGTCAGTCTAAATAATGCAGCTACACAATTTTGCTTCTATGTGACATGATGTATGTAGTCAAAGGGAGAGAAAGAATTGGACTAAGTTTTGTTCCGCTGTGGTTAGGCATAAAGTTTTAAAAAATACATCCCTGGGCAGCAATTCTGAGAGCCAGTATTACACTGGATAATACAGAAGGAAGTGTTACTTTAAACTTGAAAGCTATTTCAAGGGGTTAAACGACAATGAATCACCGGTCGAAGAAAATTTTCCAATCAAACTTTCATTTAAAAGGGGTATCGGGGGGAAAGAGTTTCCATTTATTATACTTAGTAAGATGCTCATTCAAAATTAATATCTTAATTTTATGGTACATATCTCAGAATTTCACTGGTTTGTTTAATTTCTAAGTAAGTCATCAGTGAGTAGGAACCAGAGTAATACCCAGTGGGGAGAATCTGAAAGGAGTAAGCAGTGACAATGCAACTCTAAAGAAACAAGTGTAAGAGAAGTGGGGATGTTTTTGCCCCGCCCCCCTTTCTTTAAGCGTGAGAGGAGATAAAAGGCGTTTAGAAGGAAGACTCCTCTACTCCTGCTTTCATAAGCTCCAAACCCATAGCTTGCAGGGAGGCACTCCGGAGAAGAATTAAGGACTTCAGCCTCTTAGGAGTAACATCCAAAGCTATCCCCGGGTGTCAAGGACACAATCTCGTCATGCCACTGGGGGCGATGCTTACCGCAGCGGCATGATCCCAATTCCTGCTGCACCAGCTCCAGTTTGGTTTGGCACTGGAAGCACCGACGTCGACTCTTCTGTTTAGACCGGCTGGTTTCCTCAGGTCGTTCGGTACTCTCCAGTAGTCGTGCCCGTTTCACTGGCGAAGCCTCATTCTCAGACTGTGAATCTGACCAAAACAACACATTTGGGGGTCAGGGCTGGTGCCTGGCTTGGCGAGCGCAGCTAATGAATGTACTGCAGGCCACTCTATGCCCTCCTCCCCAGTTCTGCCTGGCCCGGTTTTCACCGCACGAACTGTGACAAGCACGGGCCTTCAGGGCAGACTTCTAAGAAGCCTGAGCTAGGAGAGGAGGGTGTGGTGACTCAACAAAAACCAGTCCTAGGTTGTTGTTGTTGTTTTTCAAAACAGCTGTTTCTTTGAGGAGACCATTCAAGCTGGAACTGGGATCCTCCCTTTGTCTGTATCTCTTCTTTGGGCCCTAGCTGCTTACTGCTTGCACTGGTTATTTACTGCTTCTTAGATATCTGCTTGTCCTCAAGTAGACTATAATTCTTCAGAAAAGGGATTAGGTCTAATATTTCTTTTTATCGCCATGCTTAGCACAATTCTGTACCCAATGCAGTGTTTGATGGGTGATCCATAACCTTTTCTACTAAAAATACCTTTAGGTTTCTACTCCTAAATGTAACAAAACACGTAAGAGTCAGGTTCTGCTGTTGAAAATCCTTTCGACTTTATTCAGAGCGAAGGAGCATCCTTGCTTATTCACAAGCAAGCGACCCAGTGGCCTCCATCGCGGCATGCTACAGAAGCTGCGCTCGGCACCCCACCCCTAACGCTGCTGCCAAACTGGCAAGTAGACGGAGGTATAGTGTGTGACAACCTGGGTTTTGTAGAACCTTAATAAAGTAACTAAAACGCAATAAAGTTCCTGACGTAGGCAGGCTATAGATAACTCTTGCCTTCAGGAAAAAGAAAAAAGAAGACCACCTGGGGACTCTGTATTCTTGGACTTGCTGCCACTAAGGCATACTGAAGATGCACCTCTTGCCAGGGTTCCAAAGGGCTTTGTGCTAACCCTTCTCTGGAAGGGAGTCTCCTAAATTATTTTCTTCAAAACAGATCCAGATCCCACCGCTTCTCACCCCTCCACCATCTCCATCCTGGTCCAAGCTATCACCATCTCACATCCAGTCTAGTATAACAGCCTTTTAACTGGTCTCCCTGCCCACCCCCTTGTTCCTACAGTCCTTGTTCTCCACAGCCAAGTGATCCTGTTAAAAATCAGGTTAGAGTCACTTCACTTCCCTGTTCAAAACCCTTTAATAGCTCTTTTCCAGAGAAAAAGTTCAAATACTTACTACAGCACTCACAAGGACCTGCATGATTTGCCCTCCTCTCTGCTCTCTTACCTCATCTGCTGCTGCTCTCTCCCTTTACCCCATCCACACTAGCCTCCTGACTGTCTCTTACCTCAGGACCTTTGCACCTTCTCTTCCAGTTGTCTAGAACTCTTTACCCAGATCTACATGGAACTCACCTCTTTTAAGTCTTTCAAAGTCACATTTTCAACATCTTTTTCTCCGCTCACCCTATCTAGACCACTCTTATTCCCCTTCCCTGGCACTTCCCCTCCTCCCAACTCCTGCCTTTTATCCCTCCACAGCACTGTACCTTTTAACATTATCCTCACAGAGGATATAAAATCCTGCAGGGCAGGAAGTTTCACCTGCTTTGTTCATAATCTGCCTACAATGCCTACAACTTAATAAATATTTCTTAGATGAATGAATCTTCTCCTAGGCAGTTCTGATTTTCTATTTAAAGTGACCCTAGTGAGAAGCAGCAGACTGTTGGATGTATTTCAGTGAAGGCTGTGTACCTCTTTCTCCAGCGCCACGCCCCCCCACCCCTGTGAAGACACTGCATGTCACCAGGGAGCACTCACTGCCCCGCCCCCCTCAGCCCAGTACACTGTGCACTGACTTATGGAAGGCATGCACCATTCTTAGCAATTGTAAACTTCATTTTTCATCTCATTTAGTTCTTCCATTCCTACATGACATTTTCCCCCAATACAAACCAACTAAACAAGGCCTTTGATGAAAACAATTGAAAGCAAGTTCAGCCTATTTCCCAGCTCTGCTGAGCGAAGCTGTCCAAACCCAATCGGTGTGATGACTGAGGCAGCCACAGACAGGGCCCCTTCCCCTACAACAGCAACAAGCAACAATCTAAATGTAAATCATTACAAAGCATCCAGCCAAAAGGAATTCACCTTGTATGAGCCACAGTGCTCTCCAGGGGAGGTCCTTTTTCACAAACCAATAATGGCACAATTTGTATTAATAACTATTTAGACATACTTTTTTTTTTTTTAATGAGAAGAGAAAATTCTGGAGTGGAGCCATAACAAAAAAATGGTGTCTGTTCTGAGACAAGGTCCTAAATGTGGAGCATCCTTAAAAGAAATTATCTCCCAACCCTGGAGCATGGGGTGGGGGAAGAGAGAGAGAGGAGTCCATACAAGAAGGGGAGGCATTATTAATATTGTTAAAATCCAGAGAGCTTTGACATGATGCCAGTATGCCTCTAATGTAAAAGAGGACCACTCAGATCCTAATCCTCTTTCATTCACACTGCTATCTGATAGAACTGAGCATGTGTCTGCAAATACAGAGTTCACATTCAAGGCTCTTTTCCACATGACTCTGTCCTAAACCGTCAAATGTGGTATCTATCCATCCCCATTTCTAAAGCAAACTTGCTACAAGGAGAACATTTTCCTTTTAGCATGGCAATGCTATATCCATAGCTAACTATTTTCAAATAAGCAAGGGAGGGATATGTAAAAAAATGTTTTTTAATGTATGATTCCTAAGATTGGGAATCATAATCATCATTGGTCATTATCAAACAAACCACTTGATGGGACTCACAAATGTGAGAGGAGGCCTGTCTTGTCCTCTAATTCCCTATCTTGTCTGCCCAATGGGCATTCAATAACAAAACTAAGGAACAAATTTGCATGATCTCATGCTGAAATTTCCCTTTCCCCATTCCATGTTTTATATAAAGACTATGGAGTTATTTGTTCTGGTAGTCAGGAGGTAGATGACATTCCAGAAATAATGGGTCCTAAGGGAATTTTCTGATGCTGCCAAGAGCTTCTGGTTGCACTGCCTTGGCCATCCTAAAAGACCACTCAGCCCTAGCCGGTTCTCTAAGAGTCAATGTCTAGGCATCTAGACAAGTCTAAGACCAAAGGCATCCATGTATAGAAAGTCTGAACCATGAGAAGCAGTCCTCAGTGATTCTAAACCAACACAGATGAAAAGTTTATCAGAATGTGTTTTTTTTTTAGAATCAAGGAACTGTTCCTAGACATTAAGAGATCCATGACTTTTATGTTCTGGAATATGCCCACTTATCTTCCCTCAGTCAATGGTCTATTAAATGGAAAGGAATCCCTGTGCCCTCTAATGCTCCCTGCCACAAAGAGGGAGGGGGGAAAAAAGCTCCCTAAACTGTTTACCACCCTCCACATGCTGCCATCCAGGAAGGTGACTGGTTATATGTAACTTCTTGGAGAAGGAAACCATTCTTTGACATTTTTTCACAAGTCAACTTAATGTTTTAATTAGTAGCTAATGAAATAAATAGTGGTCTACAGGATCACCATCATGTCTGCATAAGAAATTTACATCTCCTCTGCTAATTACTTAACGAAACTTTGGGCCATGGGGTGAGCTGCCTAAATAAGAGATGAACAGATGTCCAGGGCAGGGATTCTAATTGCTTAATAATGAACTAAATAATTCAACTATTCAATTACAAATTTTATGTGAAATTAAAAAGGACTACCAGAAAGAAAAGATCCAAATCAACACTAAAGGAATCCTCATCTGCTGTCCATATTTGAATAAATTAAACTTTGATTATTTACTTTTTGCCTGCAAACATCATTCCTGTCACCGTGATACATTTTTAGCTTCCTCAACAATGATGGAAAACACCCAACAGTCTACTTGCTTAATCTGAACTTGGGCAGTAAGGGTTAAACATGGAGAGAAAGGTGAACAGAAATAACTCTTACATGCAGCTTTAACTGTCAGAAGAAACACGTCCTTGCAAGGAGCATGCTCATTAGCAGCAGGAGGAGCTGTAGTGGCAAGCTAGAAACTGTTTCCACCCCAGGAGTTAAGAGTGACTTCTAATTAAGGTCCTTCATAAAGGGCCAACAAAGCACATTTTTTCCAGTATGCTTTTTCTTGAGAACATAAATCAGGCCTGCATATACCCACGCAAGGGCTGCCACACTCCCATGCTGGGTGCGCAGTGCTTGGTACTCACCAGATGCCCTCTTCCTCTGCCTATGTTTAATAGAATGAGAAAGATATCACATCAGATCTTTTTTTTTTTTTTAAGATTTTATTTATTTATTTGACAGAGAGAGAGACACAGCGAGAGCAGGAACACAAGCAGGGGAGTGGGAGAGGGAGAAGCAGCCCTCCTGCCGAGCAGGGAGCCCGATGTGGGACTTGATCCCAGGACCCTGGTATCATGACCTGAGCCGAAGGCAGACGCTTAACGACTGAGCCACCCAGGCACCCTCACATCAGATCTTCTAAGTCAAAGGAAAGTTTGATCAAGAATCAACCTCATGTGATCACATGAGAAAGGAAAATCTTAAGTACTTTAACCTATCAGCTCCTTAGGTTTGAAGGAAACCACTTCTTAATTTGTGACAAAGAAACAAGTACAGAGAGGGGCGCCTGGGTGACTCAGTCGTTAAGAAACAAGTACAGAGATTTTAAGAACACCCACCTTCTGAGAAGAGAAATTCTTCTAATTGTACTTTCCTAGCCAATCGCAGAAAACAGTGGTAAGACTTTCAATTTAGGAACACAGTTTAACTGGAAAGCTTGACTGGAGAACAAACAGAGCTACTTCTTTTAAAATTCTGTTTTGTCTCTGACAGAAATTCACGTTTGTTCCTTACTGCCACCGTTCTTGTCTTTATTACTCATGTTCTCTCCTGAAAATTTCCAAATAAACTGTGTCAGGCCTGTCAGAGTTGAATCCCAACCTCTCTTATCTCCCATCACTGTGCAGCGGGCAGCATGCACACACCCAGGGCCACTAACCGTTGACTGTGGCCTTCT